TCATGTAAACTGTTTTTTTCAGCCCAGTTAATTTTAGCTGTCACTACAAGAAATAATGCCTTTATAAAAACTATTTATTTATTTATTTATTTTACTTTTTATAAGAAGCTTTCTTCAGGAACTATTTCAACCTGATAAATATAAAAATCAGAATCCATTTGGAATATTCCATAGGTTAAAAATATTGGGCCACAGATTATGTACTGGTGCTCTGAAACTGAAGCACTCAATGTTGGCTGGGTAAATAAAGCTGCCAATGAGAAATCTGGGCCTGGGGCTCTAGAATTTTGAATTGGACCTTGTCATTTCTTTACAGATGTTTTCCACTAAAATTAATTTGTTGTGACTCCTCTCAGCAAATTATTATGGCATGGATTCACCTGACTTCTTAAGAAAAACTTTGTTACCACAAACTAGGTTCAGATATTAGAGACAGATGTCTGTAGGTTATGCTGCAATAACAGTCCATCTGCAGCAATAATTAAACAAATCAAGAGTAAGAGCAAGCAAGATTTCTGTGGCTTACAACACCATATGCTTTTTTCTTTTTTTTTTTTTTTTTCTCATGTTAACCTTTTGGTTTTGGATCCACAGAAGCTCTGCTTCTCTGTTTCCTGTGTCTTTGCCATTCTGGGTCCCCGCTGTTAGTCTTGTGAGAGGGAAAAGTAGAAAGTGGCTGAATCATACAGTGACTCTGAAAGCTGCTACTTGAACATTGGTACATGCTTCTGCTTATATTCTGTTGGGCAAAGCAAGTCCTATGACTTAGCCCACAATCAATAGGAAGGATAAATATTAATTCTCCACAGGGAGGTATTGCAAGTCACATGGCAAAGAGCATAGATTTTAATCATCTTATAGCAAAGGAAGTGAATACTTAAGAAAAATCATAAAGGCTATCCTAGTTCACATACACAAAGGAAAGAGGTGTTTGGGGGGGGAGAGTCCAAATTTACAGGTTTTAGAATATTGAATGTAAATGTGTTGCAATAATATTTGGGGTCACTTTAGAACATTGACGAGTTTTATTTTAATATCTCTTTCAAAGGGATTGTGGTTAAAGTATCCCACATCTGGGATCCAGGGGGAATACTGACTTTCAGAATTAATCAGATTTTATTTCCGCAGAGAGAGAGAGAAATAAAGCCCAAATCAATTGCACCTTCTAGGTTTAGAGCACTCGAGCCTTCTAAGTTCCTCTCAAAACGTTTGGACTGCAGCTGCGTTTCTCCTTGTGGAAGTCCTTGACTTTCATTAGTCGGAACCCAGGGGAATGGCCACTTTAGCTTTCTCTGATGCTATTTGGCTGTTTTCCTCCCTTCATGTCATCTTCTAATGGGCAACGTAGAAAAAAGAGACGACAGTCGCAGAAGAAGCAAATAGAACCCTGGAGGATTAGAGAGCAGGAAGATGCTTTTACCTATGTTTTATGCTTTCTGGTTTTCAAAAACTATAGTTTGTTTGCATCTCTAACAAAATCAAATCATCATACCATACCTTAAAATTAATGAATCAATGAGGATCTATCAAATACTGATGTGCAGAATGATTTATTAGATGCTGAAGGGGGTACAGAAATTTTCTCTTAGTTCAGAGATTTACTGTTTGGTTAGAGAGAGCTTTACTACAATACATAAAACTTGTGCGACAGATGTTGTAAGAGCTCAGTGAGAGGAGCCTGAGTCGGAGGAGGGGCATGTGATTTTTTGGTCTGTGTAAGACTCCATCATATGACTGAACCGTAACTTATTTGATCATTCTCCTATTATCAGACTACTAGGTAGTTTCAGCTCTTGGAGCTTACTTTGATGTAGATCCATGTGTGTCTTTGCCTGCATCTTAAATATTCTTATGAAAGGGTATTAGAAGTGGAATAGTTCTGATATATATATTGTCAAGTTATTTGTTATTTCCCAGACCTTTACACTCTAACCAGTTACAGATGAGAATAACAAGGTCACCATATCCTCACCAGCTTTGAATATCTTCCCTTCACTGCCTGCTACCCTTAGGGGCCTAGATAATTCCTACTTGTCCTTCCAGTTTCACTGAAAGGTTATTTTTACTGAGAAGCAGTCCATAATCCTCTCAATGAGTTCAGAGTCTGATTAAGCCAGTGGTTCTTCATGCTTACTGTAAGACCTTTTAATATCATCCTTTCATTATTCTGAAATGAAATTTATCGAGGTTACAACCTCACTAGACACATTAAAAAATATAAAGTTGTAAATATAAAATTAAGGAGAAATAAAAGGAAATAACAAAATGAAATCACAGTTATTTTAGCATGTGAAAAGTCTGGGCAGGCTGAACTTGAAGATAAAATGAAGTGGTTGGTTGTTTGTATCCTAAATTGCTGTGAATGCCACAGTACAGATGCAGGCTGAACAGCTGTTTGGGTTGGTGATTAATTTTTCTGAAATGATGACCTACTTTTGGCAGAGTTCCAGGAGGAAGGAAAAAGGGATGCCTTTGATTTACACTGTGCTTACGATACTGGACAATTCAGTGTGTATTAAAATTGTACAAAATTTTTTGTGTTTAAAATGTAAATAAAGCTAAACTTTATCCTTAGTAACAGAACTTCGTGTGAATATCACATAGAATTTAGGAGACTTCTCTCTCACATTTCAGGCTATCTAATCTTTGGTCCCTAGCCACTAAATGCTGATAGTGCACTATCATGGTTGTGAAACTAACAAAAACAAAAAAATGCACTCACAGATTTCCCAAATGCCTAATAGGGTACCTGCTAGAAGCACTGGCAAAGTTAGAGTGCAACACGCTTTACTTTCTCAGACATCACACTCATCATGCCTTAAACAGATCTTGTCTGTCATTGGTTCCTTGTCTCAACAATGCTATCACCAGCACAGGCTCTAGCATTTACTGATGATTTGATAATGTTAATTGAATGAATGAATTAGTATTTGATGACTTCATCATCCAGGATAATTTTATAGAACAGGAATAGTATGTCTATCCATTGATTAATTCCTGTTTATGGTGAAAAGCCTCTAATATTTTGTCTTTCAAAATGTGAGGAATAACAACAGCTATCCTTTTATCAACATCTTCTATTATCAAATATTCTACTAAGAAATTCATACTATTATTTTTCATGTTTGCTTTTGAGCTAGGCTTAGAAATATTAACTTGCTCAAGATTTTTAAATAAGGAGGTTTATAAGCAACAGAAGAAAGATTTGAACCTGGATCCAAAGTCACTAAACTAATGTAAAATATTGGCTATCGAATTAAACAGGTAGTCTTTATTAACTAAAGGAAATCTTCCTTTTCTTCTAACTTTATAAGAGATTTACTTTTCTTTCTTTTTTTTTTTTTTTTTAAGAGGTTATTGGTTTAGGGTGTGTGCCCTTGCCGGAGAGACAGAGAGAGACCGAGACACAGAAAGTGAGAAATCACCTCCTACAGAGAATGGCCATGCTGCAATCCCTTCTCCTCTATTCTCCTCTCAGGATTTTGGGCATGCACACACACATGTCCTGTGTGAGTTTTTAAGCCACCAGATCGGAGACTGGAACCGTGGTCAACCATTTGGGAGTCCAGTGTCATAACCATTACACCATCTACTGGTTGCCAAGAGTTTTACTCTTATTGGATCAGCAATGCTAGCACCATTTTTTTTTTTTTTTTTTTTTTTTTTGCTTTTCTGGGAGCTGTAATATTATCTAATTGGATCTATTGATAATAATATTTAATTTACAATTTCAAACTATTCTTGCAGTAGTATATTCCTATTCCTTTGGGTTTTCTTTTTGTATAAAGCTAACAGTAGGCTATGGTTTTTCTAGAACCATGTTTAGGATTTTTGTGTTTACATAAATGAGCAAAATCACTTCACAATTTTCATTTTTATGTTCTATGCTGTGATTTGGTAGTAGGGTTCTGGGAAAATTATTTGGGAATTGTTCCATGGATTAGGGTACTTCAGTAATTATGTAATAATGTTTTCAACTTCATCCACAGTAATGTCTATTAATATTTTATTTAGTTATATGTATACCACACATTTGCAAATAACCAATTTAAACATTCAAATATATCAGCATTGAGTTATATATATTATATTTTTTAAATTCCTTAGTATCTGTATTTGTACCGTGTGTTTCATTTTAATTTTTGTGTATTTGTGCTTATATTGTGTTTTCTCTGTTAGACCTGTCAGAGACTTGTCTTTTATATCCTCATCCCCCAACTTCCCCTACAAAAATTATTTAATGTATTTATGAATTCTACTTTCTTTTATATTTAACTTATTAGAATTTTTAGATGATTCTCAATTTAGTGCTTTTATTTTAAATAATTTAAAAAATTGACTCCTTATTCTTTCTTTTTTTTCCCTCAATAATGAAGACAGTTTACTCTATGACATTCTTTAATTGCAGATTTGTCAGAAACTTACATATTTTGATATATAGTGTTCTCATTTTTTTTTCTTCTGTTTTTGGAGAGGTTTTTGCTATAGGGCATGTGCGCTCACCAGAAAGACAGAGAGAGACAGAGAAACAGAAAGCAAGAAATCACTCCCCAGGGGGGATGGCCACGCCACAATCCCTTCTCCTCCATTCTCCTCTCGGGATCTTGGGCATGCACGCACACATGCCCAGTGTGAGTTTAAGCCACTGGGTCCGGGACTCAAACCACAGTCAACTACATGGGAGTCCAGTGACATAGCCATTATTGCCAACTGCTGGTCCCTAGTGTTCTAATTTTTCATTGTTTTCCAAGGAGCCCAAAAGTCATAAATTTATTTTCTCTTGGACATTGTAGAAATTATTAGGAGAATGTCTTTAAAATTTTATGTGTGTCTATTTTACTGGCTTAAGATTCTAGCACTGTTTAGAGTTATGGTATTATGCTAAAAAAATGACCCACTGACTAATTTAAAAAATAATACAAATATGTAATATAAATGTCACCATTGCCAAGGTTGTCTTGTTAATTAGAATTACTGACCTACTTAATTTTTCTGTTTAGGTTCAAGAAAATCAAACCTTACTTGGAAAAGTCTGTGGCAACGAGACCCTCTCTCACATTAAATCCATTACTAATAACATCTGGATCAGGCTTAAAATAGATGCCTCTGTTGAAAAAGCTAGTTTCAGAGCTGTTTATCAAGTTGGTAAGAAAATGCATGTCCAATTTTTAAATGTCTCATTTTCCTGATTGTAGCATTTTAATTTCTTGAAATAAATTGGTCAGTTTATGTGCTCAAGTGGGAAGGAAACTATTCTATAGAAATGTTACGTCCTGTTATCTCCTAAAACAGAATTAGACTTTGAAATATAATAGAGGGCAAGAATTATTAATCTCTGGACAAATGTAACTGTCATTTTACTATTTGCAGCTTGTGGGGGTAAATTAACTGGAGAAGGGGTCATACGCTCGCCTTTTTATCCTAATGTGTATCCTCGAGAAAGAATGTGCACGTGGTTCATCTTCCAGCCCCTAAGCCAGGTAGTTCTTCTCAACTTCACTGACTTTGAAATGGGAAGTTCTACCCACTGTGATACAGATTATATTGAGGTAAGAGTAAAAAAAAAAAAAAAATCTTTGAAAATATAATTCCATGTTATTCTCAAGTCTGTTACATGAAATGAAAGTAGTTTATAAAGACTAGTAGCTCCTATGAATATAGATACAAAAATCCTCACCAAAATACTAGCTAAATAAATCTAGCATAAAAAAGACCAAGTGATATTTATCCCAGGAGTCCTAGAAAATCCAAAAACCAATTAAAGTAATATATGTAATCAATAAAATAAAAGACCAGAACTACATGATCACCCCAACAGATGCAGGAAAAGCATTTGACAATATCAAGTACCCTGTATGTGATAGAAACACTCAACAAAGTAGGGACAGGAAGAACCTTCCTTAATCTGAAAAAGGAACTCTATGAAAACTCATATCCAGGACCAGGAGTTAGCGTAATGGCTATGTCACTGGACTCCCATGTAGTCTATATACCAACAATGGACACATTGAAAATTAAGGAAAGAATTGTATTCACAATAGCATTAAAAACAGTAAACATTAAGGAAAAAACTTTAAAAGAAGTACAAAACTTGTACTTTGAAAAGTACAAAACATATTTAAATGAAATTTTTAAAAGCCTAAATAAATAGAATATCATGTTCATGGATTAGAAGACTGATTATTGTCCAGATGGCAATACTCATTAAATTGATCTAAAGATTCAGTGTAATCCCTATCAGAGTCTCAGCTGGCTCTTTGGCAGAAATTCACAAGCTGTTTGCAAGGGGACCAGAATAACCAAAACAGTCTTGAAAAACAAAAAAGTTGGAGGATTCATATTTTAAAAAAATGATCCAAAATGTAGAACAAAGTTACAGTGATCAAGGCAGTGTGTATTGGAATAAGAATAGAAATAAGACATTAGAATAAAACTGAAAGTTCAGAATTAAACCTAATATTTTGTGACCAATTGATTTATAGAAATAGTGCCAATTCATATAAACACGAAAAATAATTTTTAAAAAGTTCTGAATATTCATATGCAAAATAATAAATTCAGATTTCTTTTTTGCACCATTCACAATAATTAACATAAAATGGCATATAGATCTAAATGTGAGAGGTAGAACCCTGAAACTCTCAGAAAAAAAACATAGGAGTGTTTGTGACTTTGGGTTAGGTGAATCCTTCTTAGATATAAGAAAGAGAGCACGAACAACAAAATAGAAAAATCAGACTTCACATTTAAAACAAACTGACTTTAAAAATAAGCAAAGTATATGAATAGACATTTCTTCAAAGATGTACAAATGAACAAAAAGCATGTGAAAAAAATGTCCAAAGTCATTAGTCATCAGAAAAATACAAAATCAAAACCACACTTCACACCAATTAGGATGACTTGAATAAAATGTAAGATAATAACAAGTACTAGAAAGAATATGGAGAAATTAGAACCTTTCTACATTGCTGGTGGGAATGTAAACTAGTACGGCAACTTTAGAGAACAATTGGCAGAGTCTCAAAAAGTTAAAGTTATCATCTGATCTAGCAATTCCACACTTAAGTATATATATCCAAGAGAAATGAAAATATGGCCACATAAAAATTTGAATGTAAATATGCCTACAATCATTATTTATAATAACATATGCAAATAGCAAGTATAATTATTATTCAGAATTATAAAAGTAGCAACAATTTAAATGTTCATCAGTGAATGAATGGATAAATAGAATATGGTATATACATATAATGAAATTTGTGGCACTAAAAAGTAATGAAGTAACAATACATGCTACTGCATAGGCTGACTTTCAAAGACTATACTACATGAAAGAAGCTATTCACAGAAGATTACATATTGTATAATTCTGTTTGTTTGAACTCTATAGGAGATACAGTTTGTAGAGACAGTAAGTAGGTTAATGACTACCTGGGGCTCTGTTTTTGGGGAGGGGGAATGGGGAAGTTTGTGAATGGGTATGTAGTTCCTTTCGGAGATGACTAAAATGTTCTAAAAGTGATTATCTTCTCAAACTGATTTTTAATATATTAATAAAAACATTTCAGAGTTAATTTTTTGAAGCAGCTTTCTAAAATACATATCTAACAAAAGAAACTTGAATATATTATTTTTCATTACAGATTGGTAGCAGTTCCATTTTGGGTTCTCCTGAAAATAAAAAGTACTGTGGCACAGATATTCCTTCATTTATAACATCTGTGTACAATTTTCTTTATGTCACATTCGTGAAAAGTTCTTCAGCTGAAAATCATGGTTTCATGGCTAAGTACAGTACTGAGGATTTGGGTAAGAGACTGGCTCTTTCTCCTCCTTTTGAGTTTATATCAGAATAAATGAACAAGGGAAATTAATTATTACATACAAACCATTGGCACTGCAAAATTTTAAAGTGTACTAAAAACCAAAGTATATGTATATATATTTCCTCATCAACACTTAAATAAATAGCTAATTGGTATCTATTAATAAGAAAAATAGCTAGATTATGTTATGTGGCATATAAGAAAAATCTTTCTTTTTGTGCTTTTAAGAAGTTATGATCAGATTATTTGGATATCCATGTATTTTTTTTTTTTTTGGAGAGATTTTCACTGTAGGGCGTGTGCGCTCGCCAGACAGACAGAGAGAGACATAGAGACAGAAAGCGAGAAATCACCCCCCAGGGGGGATGGTCACGCCGCAATCCCTTCTCCTCCATTCTCCTCTCGGGATCTTGGGCACGCACGCACACGTGCCCGGCGTGAGTTTTAAGCCACCGGGTCCGGGACACGAACCGCGGTCGACTACATGGGAGTCCAGCGACATAGCCATTACGCTAACTGCTGGTTCCCTGGATAGCCATGTATCTTGTTGGTTAATTATTATGATAATTGTAATTTTTATTTCTACAGCATGTGGAAGAATTCTTACAGAATCAACAGGAATCATTCAAAGTCCTGGCCATCCAAATGTCTACCCCCATGGTGTCAACTGTACCTGGCATATATTAGTCCAACCTGGCCACCTGATTCATTTGGTATTTGAAGTATTTCATCTAGAATTTCATTACAACTGCACAAATGACTACCTTGAAGTTTATGACATCAACTCTAAGACATCTCTTGGAAGGTGAGCTTTCTGATTTCCTTCTTCAGCATGGGATGCTAAAATATACCATGCTGTGTTATAAGAATCAGATGGGATTATCATGCTTATCAGTGACCATTTCTACATTACTGCTCTGTAGGCTTGCTTTTAGTAATTAAGTTTTGACATCATTATACATTCATGAAGTCATCACATCGATCAAAGTAATTCACATATCTATTGCCTCGAAAACATTCTTCTTGCTCATTATAATTCACTTCTCTTTTTAGAGAGATTTTTGCTATAGGGCATGTTCACTCACCAGAGAGACAGAGAAACAGAAAATGAGAAATCACTTCCCAGGGAGGATGGCCATGCTGCAATCCCTTCTTCATTTTTCTCTTGGGATTTTGGGCATGCATGCACACACTCCTGTTGTGAGTTTTAAGCCTCCAGTTCCTGGACTCAAACCTCAGTTGACTATGTGTGAGTCCAGTGATGTAACCATTATGTCATCTGCTGGTCCCTATAATTCTTCACTTCTGTCTCTCATTCCCATCCACAGGAAACCACTAATCTGATTTCTATCACTGTAGATTACCTCACATATTCTAGAATTGTATAAGTAGAATCATACTAAGTAAACTTTGGCTTTTCTCAATCAGCAGACATTTTGTTTGTTTTTTAGTTTCCTGGTTATGAATGTTTGTACTTTTATCAAATTTGAAATATATTTGGCCACTATTTCTTGAAATACTTATCACCCAGCTCCTTTTAAGTCTCTGATTATATGTACATTAGGCCACTGAAGTTGTTTCAATTCACTAAGATGCATTGTTTGGTTGTTTATTTGACATCTTTCTATTTTTCTTCTGAGTACCAATTGCAGTAAACTTTCGTCTTAGTAATGCTTTCAGTATATCCCAAAGATTTTGGACTGTAGTATTTTTCATAATAATTTGTTTCAAAAAATTAAAAATGTTTATATTTAATTTCTTCAACAGATTCAGAATTGTTCAAGAGGCTATTACATAGTTTCCATGTATTTGCATAGTTTTGAAAGTTTTTTTGTTATTGATTTCAAGTTTTATTTCATGATGATCAAAGAAGATGCAAGATATGATAACTATTCTTTTAAATTTGTAGAAGCTTGTTTTATACCCTATTATGTGGTCAATCTTAAAAAAATGTTCCAGGTACCACTTTTTTGAGTGAAATGATCTATAGATGTTAGCCTTTGGTTTATGGCATTATTTAACTCCAGTGTTTTGTTTATTTTTTGTCTAGGTGACTTATACAGTGGTGAGAGGTTGAAATCACCAAAAATTAATGTGTTAATGCTCCTTTAGGTCTAACAGTTTTTGTCTTATGTATTTAGGTGCTCCAATGTTGGGTATTGAATTATTTATAATTGTCAAATCTTTTTGGTGGGTTGCTCCCTGTAATACTCCTGTAATACTATATAATAATGTATTTTTTCTTTTTATAAAAAATTAGCTTAAAGTCTATTTTGTTTGCTATTAGGATAAGACTCCTGCTTTTTGTTTGCCTGTTTCCACTTATATGAAATATGTCTTTTCCAATCATTCACTCTGTGTGTGTGTGTGTGTCTTTTTACCAGTAAGACTTTTTTTGTAAGCAACATATAGAGGAATCCTGTTCTTACTAGTTTTTTTATCCTTTCAGCCAATCTATATCCTTTGAGGGAGCTTAATTCATTTATATTCCCAGATATTATTGACATGTATAGGTGTTTCCAGCTGCATTTTGCTTGTTGGTTACTGATTGTTTTATGCTTTCCATTTCCTGCCCCCCCCCTTTTTCTGTATTGTTTATCTTTGGTATTTAATAGTTTTTCATGGTCATAACGCTTGTCATCTTCTTTGTGTAGTTTTACGACTGGTTTTATACTTTCAGCTGTTCTCATGATATTTATCTTCCTTTCATTTCGAGATGTAGCCCTGCCATATGTATTTCTGAAGACCTCATTTAGTATTGATGAATTCCTTTGTCTGAGAGCAATTATATTTCTCTCTTAAATTTAAAGAATGGTTTTGTGGGGTACAATATGCTTAGCTGACATTTTTATTTCAGAATTTTTGTTTTGTTTAAGTTTTTGTCATAGGGCATGTGTGCTTATTGGGGAGAGAGAGAAGAGAGAGACAGAGAGAGACAGAGAGAGAGAAAGAGAGAGAGAGAGAGAGAGAGGAACAATGAGAGAGAAAGTGAGAAGTTTCCCTCCAGGGGGCCTAGGCACGACAACATCCTTTTACCTTCATTCTCCTTCTGAGATTTTGGGCAAGCACACTCACATGCTTGGTGTGATATTCAAGCCTCCTAGTCTTGGACCTGTACCACAATCAGTCATGTGGGAGTCCAGCACTGTAACCGCCTGCTGGTCCCTCTCTTTCAGAATTTTAACTCTGCCATTTTATTCTCTTGACCTTTTTTTTTTTTTTTTTTTTTTCTGGGAGGGGCTAAGGTTAGTTTGTGGGTTAGCCCT